TCTACACATTGTGCACAATATATATATATATATATATATATATATATATATATTTCAGTGAATAATGCATATAGATATAAGCGGGAGTTACACTCTCGTTTTGTACTTATCATGTATAAAACATGCACACCAGCCTACTTGTAGAACATCATCAAAAAGGACTGGTTAACTGACAACATGGTTTTTCTTATGAAGGCCCAGTTTCGATTTGTTTTGTTCAAGTAAAAGTACATCTTGGGCATCTCTTTTGGGTGGTAAGATAACTTGTGTTGATACCCCCAGAACTATTTTTTCTGATTCTATCCCTTAATATAAAATCACTTAGGACTTTCAATGCGACAAAACAGGCACAAAGGTCGTACAAACCTAAATTGTTGTAACTACCCACAATTAAAAGTTGTATTTACTCATCAGACTAGAATACCGCGCCATGTTTGTGTAGGACAGACTTTAAAATTTCCGGACAAACCGACTTGTTTGGGAAAGTTTACCCCCACAACTTACCTTTAACTTTGGATGAACGACATAGAGTCCGGTGAACATGGTTTCATATAGCACTCGTGATACATTTGTAGTGGCTGCATTCACTAGATACGAGCGCAGGAATCGCCAGGGTAATTGCAGTTGTGTCCGTTTTCTCATTATATCACACCACTCGGAAATGCCAATTGTTCCTGGGAATAAAACAGATAGAAGTCATGATCAACTGATAGAATTCACTTCTAGCTCAGGAAGACGTCAGCAGTCTGGGTAAGCCTGAGTGAGTGAAACCCTGATAAACTAAAAAGCAATACAATTAAATACCCATCTATACAGCACTGGAGATGTACTCTTATGAAAAACATCCCCCAAAGTCAGAAAACAATCTAACTGTTGATCATTATTCTCAATAATGTATCAGAGAGAAAGTTATCTACAGTAAATTATAGGCAAAGAAGCGGCTGGACTCAAAACAGTATATATTGCGTGTTTAATCATTCATTGTGTCCGTTGATTATGGGCATGTGGTCAAACCCAATTATGATTCTGTAGATGTAAAGACTTAAAACTGTCACCCAATATACTGCCTTGTTTTTTTATTTCCGTAGCACCAAACCAGAAGATCACCAAGTGCTGGAATATCATCCTGAAGTTCTACAGCAGTTTAAAATTTGAAGCTTTTTAGAATGGTTTACTCAAGAATTAACGGTTATTTGGGTCATTTAACCAAAAAACAGTTTCTTTACAAAAATCGATATTCTGCGTACGTAACCTTTATAAACACATGTAGCGTTGTAGTATATTTATGCTATCATTCCGAACATAAGCACTCAGAGAGGACGCTTAAAAGCCCAAACTAAAACCTATGGCGAACACCGTGACCGTAATTGTTGCGTGTTTTTGAACACAGTTGAGGTCATAAAACGGTCACGAAGGATTGGGCGAATGCAAAACAACCTCCACAAGACATTGTACAGATTTCCACTTTAAAGTAGCTGTGGGTATTAGGTAAGCCAGGATGACTTTTAATAACGGCTTGTTTAATGTACACAAACCTAATAAACATGACACAGTGGTTCGAAAAATGGTTTTGCAGCATAATTCTGGTTAAATCCTTGTATCGTTACATCTGTTCATAATCGAAAGCTGGTATATCAGTAATGTGGCAGATGGGGAAATTCAGGAGAATAATGTTCCCTATCAGAAGCCTTTTCGCTTCTATCTCTTTCTCGCTTTTGGTCAGATAACAGCCTGTCTGCAGCTGGCATTATTGCAGATTATTTTGGCATGGGAAACTAGATATGCTTAGACGGGATAAGAGGTGACGCAAGCAGATCCGGTGGGTTGAAACAGCATAACGCCTTAGGAACTAGTTTCTTATGCATGCCAACGGCTCGTTCAGGTTGAAATGTGCCAAAATTCTTGGTAAACGCATACACTCAGCATATTTTAGATCAAGTCATTTCTCTTCCCGTGGGTATGTTGTTCGCGCAAAAAAGGCATCAAGTTTGGCCAAATTTGAAGTAGTTAAGTCTAGCACCGTTAACCAAATCGCTGGTAACAAAAGTTCCAACTAAGTTTGTACAAAAACGATTGATTTACAAAAAAACGGCCTCCAACAGGAATTTCTCCCTTTCCACAAGTCAACCAAACGACATACCAGTATGATATTTGTCAACAGACTTGCAGTCCTTCAGAATGTCATCCTCGAACTGTAACACATGGTTCCATAACTTGACAAAAGCCGCGTTTATCGTGAATCTAAAAATGATGACAATGGTTGGTTAAGTAGTCGGCTGAGGAAAACTTCGGACGGGCAATTCCCAACACAGTTATTCATAACAGATGATACCGAAGATGCACACTTGATCTCTCACGCTTCGTTTCCAAAGTTTGCTCCAATGTGCTTCATGTTGAGCTAGTGACCAGGAACTGGTTTTAAACTGAGTGGGATGGTTTTCCGCAGGGCAGACCTGAAGAAAGTTTGTTCTGTGTAAGTACTTTTCGGTCTGTTTCAGAACTAGAGTTTCTATAGTGTAAGTCGCCACAGTTGTTACTTAACTGGTAGCTGTCTAATAACTCATACATTTTAGATAAGACAGCAGGGTGAACACCAGTTCTTCAGTAATTTTCATTAAACTTGAACAACTAGTTCCTTGTGTTACACTTCATGCTGTTCTCCAAAAAGGGAACTACTGTACTGCGCTAGACTCAACCAACGGGAAATAAATCTCTACGGATTGAAGATAAGACCCGTGTCTACGGTTCTAAAACTTGCTCACCGCTTTATTCATTTTGGATACATGTAATTTACACGAATTTGGGTTTTGGTGTAAAAATAGTTTAAGTACTAAATTAGACAATAACTTTACTGGAAATTAGCCTAGTAACCGTCCGTACGACCTTGGGGCTAACAGCTCCATGAAGCCTTGGTGCATGACTGTCCAAGAAGGTAAACCAACTAGAAACTGATCACATTGTCATCAAAATAAACAAATGGATAATGTTAATCGAATAAAAAAGATATGGTGTTACTTAAACTACAGGTGTGTTACCAGGAGAACCAGAGGTTCATAGCCATCAATGTGAACAGCTTTGTAGAAGACCACGGCAATGTAGTTTAACATTGCGCGGATGAATTTATTAGTTTTCTATCAAGTGGGATTTGACCAGTTCTCCAAGCGTGTCAAATGGCATCTATTCAACTACTCACTGAGGGTATCCCTTCATATGGAAATTGGCAAACAAGTAGCTATGCCCAGTGAACAGATAAACTATAATCTGTGCAAGACCTTATTTTAGGTGGTGACAACCTATATGCAACCACTGACTATCCAAAAATTTAGACTCTATTTGCATGCTTGAAAATACACTAAATCTCGCATGTGGCATACTTGTGGGGACTGAACGTTATTTTCAGATTTAATTACAAAAATGTTCTTCTCCAGTGAAAAAGTTGTTTACATCGTGTGTTCCCAGAACTTTAAGTAGATATAGGACGCACATCCATTCTTCTGGTATCATAAGTAGTAGTTTCATGTCGGTTGGTAGGTGCACCACACCGAAAACGGAGAAGCCAGCAAAGTCACCATTTTAAGATACAACTTGAGGCATGAATGAACATAACCAGCATATCCAACGACACATCTAGCATCTAACTGAGCTGTCAATTATGGATGACCAAAATCTTGTTTTTCTACTGATCATTGCATGATATCTCGAATTATTGTCTATCGGGCCATCCTACCTAGTATTCTGCTTCTGATTCATAATATAAATCAGGTCCGACGTGTTAACCGATGTGTTTGGTCATTCAGCAAACACATCCCGATTGCCACATTAAACAACTTTCCGAAAACTGAGACTGCGGAACAGTCCGTCCCCCCTTGCAGCAATATTTTATCATGAATCCCTACGAAAAATTTGTTTTCATAGGGACTGGGTTGAATGTCGACGTGAACTCGGCGTCAGCATTGCTACCGACATACTTAAAAGCTTTTGCAGTTTTGATTGGTTAATGATATTGGAGTCATCGAATCGCACAAAGAGTAAAAATAATGTATCCAAATCAGTTTATTGGTCACCGCCTTTCCTGGAGTATCCAGTAAGTGGCTCAGAAGCGAATACTGTACCGAATTTGTGCGACTGCATATAGGCGTACCACCTTTTTCACCGCCATTCCCTACACTGGGCGTAACCCTTAGACATGCGAATCTCGCGAGCAGAGTCCAGAGATAAGCAATCGAATATTTTAAAAAACATACCTGAAAGTTCAGAACAAGTAATACTTTTCTTCGGGCTTAGACAGCTTAGACCTGGTAACGCCCTAAAACTATATGATTGACATCAGGATTTCAGGAAGAAAAAATTCGATACGCACGGCACGCTGGTTTTTACCGCCAAATCTGAGTGTACTAATATAAGTGAATCACTGTATTCTGAAACGCTCGGGAGCCCATTAAAAACCTCAAGTTCTACCAGCGGTAGTATACACATTTAATAAAAGCCGGGTGAAATTCGGTTCCACCGGCTGAGACAGACAAATTACCGTTTCTGTGAGCAAGCTACGAGCGGCTCACAAAAAAAACAAAGTACGCGTACAGAATACAACAGGCCAGAAATTTTACGAACGCAAAACAAAACAATAGAATGAAAAGCCTTTGGTAAGCGCAGAAAGTATCAGCGATCAGTTGTATACCTTCCTTGATCACAGGTGCAAGGTATTGTTTACGATGCCTACTCTTTCTAGATCTTAGCAGGAGAGCAAGACAGTCTTCTGTTTCACTTTATGAGAGTCTTACAGGTTGGGAAATTTGAGCTGATATTTACTGGAACCAATTGGGTGGGATTGTAATATTCCCGGACAAAAGCCGTCATTCGGTAGTTTCCCTATTCTCAACACAAGTTGTGACTTCACAATGCTTTGCTTGTCTATTTTTTTATTTACAGCCGTTCAACAAACACCATCGTACATCGTCATACGATTTTTCGTCTGACACAAACAATACAGGAATCTCACTTTAAAAAGTGGGACCTGAAGAAGACGGAGACCAGCGCGACTTTTAGCAGTGTGGTGGGAGCCTGTTATCAGGATGTCAGCTGACTCACAGAGAGTAATTTATCAGATCACTTATAAGCGAGCCACTGATTCTGCATGTAGCACATTTGATCGCACTCAGACAATAGAATCAACCTCTCAGTTCCCAGAACCTTCTGGCTCATTTAGCACCATCCAAATGTTCAATTAATGAACTAAGATCAAGCATTCGGGTCGTCTGACGTGATGGAAACAACCATAAGGGTCGTTGGACTGTAATCAACGGTCACACGCATGTCTCAAATGACTACCGATTCACTCGATCAGATTTTCATACCAGCGAAGAATCACCAGACGCACATGTTTGTTACATTCGACAGCTGAAATTTAAATTCAACTGCAACTGATGATATGTACTCAAAAGTTTTTCGGGATAACATTCAATGAGATGTAGGGTAATGTTCGAACTTCGTGTTCCCATTCGTGGGTGGCATCAACTTCCAGATTAAACAAGCAAAAGGTACATTTTTTGTTGCTTATTCTCACACAAAATAGCTTTTGGAATCTTTGAAGTGCCTGTGCAAGCAAAAACTCCATTTAAACATTTCTAATGAAGCCTCCAGAAAATTCCTCCACAGCAAAGGAAAAATACTTTAATTTTACTGTTCCACTATCATAATTGAAATTTTTCTATGGTTTCAAAGTATATTGTTAGGCTTACTGTATTATGAGGATAATTTAAGAAAAGTCTGCTGGTAGCATATCATATGAAGAAACAAAACACTCTTTAGTTAACTTGGTATTGACGCACTTACTCCTTTGAACATTGCTCGGTCCGCTTAACTTCTGGACGTTCAAGCAAGACAACTTCTACTTGAGTGGCCCACTGATTTTTAAAGCCTGTTTTCGAATGGTATGCATTCCCAGCATTCAATGTCAGCAGGGAAAATGAATGAACCTTCTCTCCTGTGTTTTCATTGACCGGTTCGTTTGTTACCGGTGACTTTGGGGACCTTAGTGACAAACGGATGTATGCGCCTTCATTTGTATTGTGACCGAAGTAGTTGTAGGCGGAAAATACGGTTAATACTTTTTCTGAGTGTTGCAATTTCCACCCCTCCGGGATACATTGATGCGACCGTATCAGCAGCTGCAATCCATGGCGTTGAAGAAAGCCATCGGTAATATCTGGTCCGAAACAGCACCCAGCTCCACGGAACGTGTTAAGTGAGGCCCCGCATTTCTCCTGAGGATCACTCCATAGTAAATTCAAAAGCTGAAATGAGTTGCAACAGAACTGTGGTCTTATTCAAGTTGGGCTGAAGAGAGAATTCAGCAGTAAAAACAGTGCAGTAAAGACAGCGTTGTACAAAAAATCCAGAATGATGTGAAAGGTACTTGGTGCATTTCTGAGTGGCCATTTGGAACGAACTATGGAACTGCTTCGATAATTCAAGATTGATCAGACGAGTTGCTCCTTGGACGATCGTATCGAATAGAAGTAATGAGTAGAGGCAGTTTGTCCGCACAATCAGATATAGGGTCTGCATTGTATGTGGATGAATCAAGCACTTCACTTTGTGAGTGAGGCGAATAACTGTGTGCGTATTAGCTTAATACAGACCCGTGAGGTTTCCCTGTTCTCAGCCGTAGCAATTATCTTACTCTAGACGTTTTTGTCTCTTTGTTATCACTAGTGTTTATTTGTACATGTTTATCCCTTCGTTTTTTGTTAAGCGTGGGCAGTTGCCAATCCAGCCAAGCCTGTCACTAAGAAAATACACACTGATTGGATGCAACAAGCCTTAGAGGATTATGAATTACCTTTCCGCATTGGTAAAATGTTTTTACTTTGACAGCCCTGAGAGTAAGATTGTAGCCCTCGTGGATCGTAACATTGATACCAAGTATTCTGGCATCCCATTAAGTTAGGGTGACTAAATTATGGGAAAAAATAGTACGAAAACCACTCCAGCACACGGTACGTAATGAGCAATAGGGACCTAGGGAGTTATTTGTGGGACGCTATCAACCAAACAAAGGATACAAAAAATCAGCTGATCCACTAGGGAAAATGCTTATTCTATCCCACTGACAGTTCATAGAGTACTTTATAGCCAGCATTGCTTTACATCTCTGGAGAAGCCCTTTGAAATCCCGAAACTCCTTCAGATTTGGTGAAACCCTACATCCTACGTCACTTGAGGTAAACTAAATGCAACGCCCGTGCGTGAGTTCCTGGTTGAACGGAGAAAATGCATTGCTCATGCATGTATAAAAGAAAATATCCGACATGTTGCAAACAAGGTATAGCAATTTAACATTCTGTGGAAATATTCCAGAATCTGAATGACCTGTAGGGAGAATGGTCACAACTATTGGAAGAAATGGGCCTATCGTTTCTTTCAAAGGATGAAATCTGAATTGTTGAAACTAGGTCATAACAATTTCACAATGGAGGCCTTTGTAAAGGTCGTAAGCACCTATTTTTCCTCTTGCAACTCTGAAAAGCGATGTGCATCAGTGGCAAGTTTTACAATTTTGGTTAATTGTATTTTAAAACTACTTGCTGTAGGATGCACCCGACAATGCGCCCCAGTTTTCTGGAATTCGTCATCAAACGTACTGTAACCGTTAGCTAAAGTACACTCCCAGCATAATTCCTCTCCTCATCTGTAGGCACTTGCTAGCATACGCACCATCAAACAGCTTGGGAAGTAGGTCGATGGGTGGCGATGTGGGCTTCTGCGAATAAACGTCCTTCATGTAGGGTTATGACGGATATTGGTAGTTGGGATGTTCTTCGCTTCAAATGGATACCGTTATTGTCCTGATTCAAAAGCCTCAGTCATAGTACGCTTTGACTTCTTAATCACTGACTGCTTCACCATTGGATTGGCGGTGACGCCGATTAATGTGACACATAGATCCCAATTCCCCACTAAATTTTTGGAACTTCTCAGATGTTTACTGAGGTCCTTTATTTGAGTACGATAGCTCGTGGATACCCTAACTCGCAAATTGCAAACACATTCTGTTGACGACTGTCATTCTGTGGGTTGCTCGAACTCCATGGAGTCACTGTTGTATTTTGGCACTGCTTACCGAGCTATTACAACTATTCTCCGGCACTGCGTGAAATCGTTGGCTCTTTAGGCTGCTGCCTCAGGCGGTCTGCATAAAGCACACCAAATTGTGTATTCTTTCATTTGGCAAAAAATTCCTATCCACTAGAACTAATTTCGCGCCCTGCGAATGGTACTGTTGGTACCGCAGTGTGCAAACCCTACTGCATTCATCGTCAGAACTGATCTCATTTTCATTGCCATCTGTAAACAGCCAACTTAATTAACATCTAGTTTTAATGGGCATTTTGTCGCGGCCGTTCTAGAAAGTGATCAGCTGCCTTGGCACACTTGACGCTATCTGTTATCTTGCAGTTAACTATTAAATATTAGGGTCGTGTCTGGTCTCTCATTTTATTTTCGACAAATTTGAGTTAGTTAAATGGTATAAGGACGGTTGTGGAGAGCATTTTCAAATACCTTTTCGGAATTCTTTTGTGGGGGTCCTTTGAAAAGTATGATGAAGGGATCTGAAAAAGCGCTTTTGCTGTTTTTGATGTTACGTTATTCTGCAAAGCTGAAATAGCACACATCAACCTAGTCTCATAGTTTCCAAGTTACATTCCTAAGTAAGTGGTCACTGTGATCTGCTGTATCGAATGTCTTTGTTAGCTTTCCTTTGATAGTGCTTTAGAATGAGTAATGCTACTTTCCTTCAAAAGCAAGCATGAATCGTTTGTAGTTTGCAAATTAGTGATGCTTCATCACATCTTGTCAAAGCCACCATCCGATTATGAGTATTACAGCCACATCAGGCCCTTCTCTTTCAGGTCCATCAGGGCAGCCGTTGTGAGAGTGGTCCCCGATGAAATAAGCTGAAGGATGTAAATATAACCACAGGTTCACAATGAAGGCTCATTGCTTCACAATTACCACGTTCGACTTGAGGACCAATGTCGAGTTAATTGAAACATGTACTATTCACTTATGTTTCAGCTGTTCTGATCTAGTTACATTACAGCCAACCCATCACGTAATATAATGCTAACGCAAAGTGATGTGAAAGTGGATACAGACAGACCACTTCATTGGAAGGAAAACGAGTTAAAAAGTTAGGGAACTTCGGACGTGACTCGGACATGGTTGCCCAAACGATCTTAGTGCTAAAGGTTACCTTTAAACCCAATACAGAGTTGTTCGCTAAACTGCTGGCTATGGCTTGGTGTAAATCACGTATGTTGCAATGCCATTCACCGCAGCCGCGCCTTTTTGCGAGGTTGACTTCTTTGGGATTAACTACGCACTGACAAATGTTCAGCGACCCTTTGAGATTCGCGAGAAATTCGTGAGAAATTTAGAGGCCCTTGTGAGTGTGAACTAAGTCTACTCCGCTCCATTAGCCCGTTTGCAGTTTTACCATGATTAATCCGGTTTTACCGTCTCCATCGTACAGAAACACAACATATATGATTATGGGTTGGCCTAATGTCTGAATGTCTGCAAATGGCTTCACACCAAATGTCATACTTCTATGAGGTATGAAGTTCAAAGATTTTTATACCACCTGGAGAGCGTAAAGAAGAAAAGATATTGCTCACCTGCTCCCACTCCTGCAGATTGACGGCTTTTGGACCATCCAAACACGGACTGAAAACCGACACCAACTAAAAAGGAGAAAAAAACAGCCGGAAAGCGTTCAGTTTTTGACTATTGATCCATAATGTACAGCAAATGTCGAGGCAATTTGCTGTCACACTCAAGAAATTTCCGGTTGGCAGTTGAGAAACCCAATCTAATGTACTTTGAATAAAATAACCTGTGACACCTACACTGAGGCTGAATGTAGGCCATGGTAACTAAAAGAAAAGATAAAACAGCACCCGAAATGAGCGGTCTCGCGAAGTCCCGCATCCTTATGGGGATTTATAAGAAGTAGAAATTTGACTCCTGTCACCTGCGGGGCTCTTTGTCTTTACTGCCTGCTTTGTGCACCAACACCCACCATTTGTTGGCCAAATCGGTTTTATTTAGTCAAGCAGACAACGGATTTCGATGTGCAATGCTGTGATAATAAAGAGATGATACTTCAGTCATAAAAAATTGTCTTGAATTCCATTGACTCTGCCACGTCACTCTACTTTTGACTTCAGTTAACGTCTGCAGACAGTCCTCATCATCGTCAAGTGTCGATGGTGTATACAAAAATTAAGAAATGACGGAACAAATGGGCTTTCTACAAGTTATCTGGTTCCAGCTGCATCCAAGACGCTAAACGAGAAGACGTGTGCAGGACCCGGCAGGTTGCCCGTGGAATGGAAGGGTGAATACGGCTCAAGCCTCCAGTTTGGAGTCAGGCTCGCCACTGCGTGAATCAGTTTCGCGGGTCTGAACAGAAGCTCATGCAAAAGACTTCAGTGAATATCCCGCTAGATTAAAGTCACTTGTGCTTTATGGTATCACAGAAAAGCTTACCTATTTACGCTTACTTTTACGTGGAACTTGGTGGGCGAAATTAGACCAATGTGTTTCCTTAGAGATATTGAGATCAAAAATACTGGCCGGGGGTTAGTTTAGGAATAATTTCAAGTTTCTTCCAACTTCATCCCATATGATCAATTTGAAGAAAAGGTGAAAAATCACTCGAACGAATGGTGCTCGGTTTGTGGGTGGCCCAAAATATTCACACAAAATAACACATTATGGACCCTGAAAACCATACGTCTTATCTATTGATGACAATTTTCTGAACGGACGCCTAATATACTATTCTAGAGAAAAGCGCATACGTTGTTGTAACTTCCATAATAGGTTCAAGTCTAGTTCAAGTCTAGGTTCAAGTCTGATACTGAAATCTATTTCTGACCAGCCGATAATTCCTCCCGGAACTCAAATCTGTCAGTTTGTTGGAATCTCGCTGCTTACAAATGTTTGAGAGTTTAAGAAAAGCCTAATTTTCTCTCGACCTTAATCCGTTTGTTGACAGTTTACTATCGTCGACCACGTGCGCAGCCATTGGAAAATGTATAATGTCCTGCTGGGAAGCAGGGATCGGTCACGTCCATTATGCCTGTTCGAAAGTACTCACCGATTAATCCGAAGTCGACCTATTCAGATCCGACGACCATCTGTGTCACATCATTGAGGTAATCAGATCTCAATCACCTAACCCAGTTGTGCTGGTGTGTTGTCGCCCCTGAGAGATAAGAAGACTAGGACTCTAGTTCACTCCTGCCCACCAGAGAAAGAGCGACTGTCCACTAGAGGGTGACACTGATAGCACCCTTTGCAATGATGCTTGTAGCAAACGTAGTGTGTACGTCTCCGCATTGTCGCGGAAACGCAGCGCTCGGACTGGGCGATAAGAAAGCTGAGCAGAATACGATGTAGTGGACTGACAGCTGAATGTACAACAAATAAATCGCCAGAAGGTGAGTACGACTAATCGAAGTCTGTCCTGGATATTTCAAGTCTCCGTACTGCCACCTAACTCAAAAGTTTCGACAAAGACGTCGGTCGATTTGCAGTCAGGACAGTCTTGGAGCGCTTGGTAAGCCAATTACATCGCTCAAATGTGAGCACCCCGTCCAGTGATATGCCTTCATACGATGCTCGATATTCAAGATATTAAACCATTTTCATTGGTTTTGGTAATGATTTCATAACTTTGCGTATATACATTTTCCTGCTCACATTAAAAGGAATAAACTTCAATCTAACGAATAATGTTTCATCAGAGGTTTGTACAGACTTTGATGCTGATAAAACCAGACATTCGTTTATCCGGAAAAACAAACTCAGGTTCGGTTAAAGATTAAACTTTTCGGATTAAATTTCATCCGGTACGTCATGATAGTGGTGGTCATTCGTTATACTGCTCTGGTGTTAAGGGAAGGCTAAACAACCAATCGTCATTGCAGTATAATTTTCCTCTTATTGAAAAGTGGAATGAATTGCTGAAAAGGCGGCACTTGGTGCAGTAACGCGAGCCTGAATCGCAGAAAAACGAATGGCCAACAAGTAACGTCGATGCGGATGATGAGACGTTGAACATATTTACTGCATTTGTGGAACGGAGGCTAATTTTGCGACGGTGGTGTCCCTTTCCAAAGGCGTAGTAGTTGCTATTCAATGGTGCACGCGTTTGTTTTCCTCACCAACTCACTCGAGTCTTCGGGGGTAAATCTCCGGGAACAGCCACTCTGAATAAAGAGTTCAACAAGGAAGATCAATTCGTCCTGATGTGCCTTTAGCGCAGATATTCCAGGCTTCATCTGTTGGGCACAGAAGTTCAAATTATTTTTGACAGAAAACTCTGACAATCCAAAATCGGCTTTGATCTTCGTAAGGCTGAACACCGATGCACGTTCCTCGAATTTCCGAAAATTTCAGTTCCACTTGAACGCAAATTGTGCTTTTGTCGCCAAGTACTCCCATTCGCAAACTAATCTGGTCTCGACGGAGACTTAACTAAATCTCTGATTTATAATATTCTTTGACTAAATGTGCTGCACGAAGACCGCGTCGTGTTTCAGTATGATACTCGGTAGATTGTAATATATTTCCTTGACAGAACACTGATGGTCAGGCAGCTAAGAGTGAGTAAATAATAGCACTACTAAGAAACATAGATGGAAATCAGTTGCGTCTCTGTGTAAAGTCGAGTAAGTTTGAAAACTAGTGTACATGTGATTAAAGGAAACATATAAAGGGAATTAGACATACTTGTCATTCCGAGTGGTTTATGAGATGAATTGCATGGTTCCAACCCCCTCTGGGTGATCATTGTCAATTTCCAAGCGATATGCAAAGCGTTATGTTCCAAAAATGATGACTACTGATAGATACTCCGTAGTAATTGCCCCGCAGCTATCACTGCTTGCATGCGATTGGAGCACCGGGCCTTTTCCTCTATGGTACTTCGTAATAAGCTATCGGCTCCCATAATGAGAGAATCTTAGGTTATTGATTCCGCCAAAATTTACATTCTCATTTCACAACACCCTTGCTTCAGTATTGTTTTTCCTTCGAAAAGTATCTTCTGATCAGCCAACCAACATGTCAGCTTGCCTGATCTCTGTTAGAAATGGCTCTTTCACAAAGCCCTAACCCTTTCTTTTTTCGTTTCTTCGCTTTAATGCTCACATCTTGTCACGAAATGACAAAGAGAACTCGCATTCTTCGGTCACTAGTATGCGTTTTGTGCAGAAGGTTTTGCAGTCATCCTCAGAGTAAACTATGAGAACTTTATAGAACGTGTCATCACCACAGTCACTCATGCATGAGGCGGGCATTTCTGAAGCAGCAGGGGGAACTCAGCGGAGGAAGCGGCATTCTGTAAGGCCTGACATAGCCCTACAAATTTTCCTATGAATTCTTTGCGGAGGCACGATACAAGGTATGCATACAAGCCATTTACTATCTGAAACAACAAAGAATCCTCACCAAATGAAAAGCAGTTTAATTTGCACAAGAACAACGTTTTATTCACAAATGTAGGATCCTTACCTTGCTTCGGTCTAGCGTGCGGACTTTGTGTAAATCTGTTGAAGAAGCAACTCCACCATGGCAAACGAAGATCGTTTGGTCAACAATGCAGGCGACAGGCAGTTGACTAAATGCTTTTGAGCAAGTCTGAAGCAATTCATTTTCTTGATTCTGTGGTAAGCAGTTAGCACAAAGTTAATGTATTTGTGAAACACCGGTAAACGGTTACCACTGTACGAATTCAGGTTTGTCAAAACTCTAGCTCGAAAAAAGTGAATTTCTTATTTGGAAGTTACATCAAGCACAATAGTCTATTGTTGTGCGGCTTGCCCTTGGTCACGGAATAAGCACGATGTGAGTGGTTGCCAGTTTCAAGCATATTCTTTCATGTTGAAGTCAACAACCGTTAGGTGACTCAAAGAGAGAACATTTCTCTAGCTAGCTAGGTTGCATTCTAGCCTTAACTTGTCTGTAAACCACGATTATTCCCAGACTGCTAATATGTTGTTATTGCCAGGAAAAATATCCGTATTCTGAAGTAAACCTGATTAACCAGATTGTAAACAAAGAAACAGCACACATTCGGTGGACTAAGATTCTTAATTGCTATAAATCAATCAACAGAGAGCTGCTAATATTCATCAACAAAACATTTGTGAAGTGACACGTTACCATGTTCCAATTAATGATATAAACCTCACCCTGTTAATTTATGCATACTAATCCTAAGCCGAAAGCATTTGACCGCGTCTGTCTTATTTCTACTCGCTGCTAACATTTGACTAAGATAAAAATCGGACTTATACATTAAAAACGGAAGGCTTCACTTCCGAAATATTCTCACCCATCAATGTGGAGAGAGGCTGTTACAGGATGTAGGTCAGCTTTGTATTATTTTTCTTTTTGAATATGATAGAGAGGTTATCAACGCTGCTTCATTACCTGAATTGGACAAAAACATGAATGGCGAGGTGTATTATTTGAACTGACCGGTAACAGTCAAGCAGTCAGCAGCTGTACGAAACATTTCCTGTTTGATCAGGATCCCATAACTTCAGCATGACCTAAGGCCGAAGGTAATTTAACTTTCGAGTCCATTACCTGGTGGTATCTCTCATCTGAATTGCATTGCTTAAGTGTATTTACAGTGCACGGCGGTGTTTGGTAAATCTCGTGTAGACCGCTTTACAATAATGTTGGAGTTGAACGGGAGATGGTGTTTTTTTAAAAAAAATCACTCATACAAGAACAAAATAGCCCAATTATTCCATCAGTTTTGAGGCAAAATACACTGCGTCTGAATATTCACACATTTTTTTGCCGTTAACGGAAACATACCGGGAATTTCCACGAGAGTTCTCGTTTGAATCCATAGCTGTTACACAGAAGATTAAAAACGCAATGTAGAAAATCGTCCTGATTTCACATGTATGTGCACTTATGGTAAAATTTAATTTTAGTTACTTTGAAATCTCATACACGGCCGCAACGATTTGCCTGTTGTAATCTACCCGCAGTGTGGGAATCAGGCAGAAAACTGGATACCGATGATCTTCCAGTGATGAGAGAGCCTGTTCACGAACTTCAGGCAAGAAATATCCTAAGCAATGTTTCTGTCAAGTTCATCATTTTTAACTGTGAGTTTCAATGTTGTCTGTGCGGAGAAGAAAAAATACCGTTTTCATTTATATCTGTGACGATGCATTATCGGTGACGCAGGCACCACACACTTCGATTTTTAAAGTCCTCAATTACACCAGAAAACATATAGCACTAAGATTTTTCTATGGACAGTGTCATACAGTCCTTTTAAAAAATTCTGAAATGGTTCACCATTGGTGGCAAACCCTATACTCTCTGAGGATATCGGAATCACATTCTATGGAAAGCACTCAGGGGTATGTGAACAAAGATGTTATCAATGTGCATGTTGTAACGGATAGTAGGTGCACGTGTGGAATTGCTTGAAGGAGCAATTAAACGAAAGGGTAGCCGTCACAATGTAACAATGTTCGGTAGATGATCCAAGTAGGTTCGAAGTGGGTGAATTTCCTAGACCAAATATTCGGTGAATTAAGAGCAAACATACTGTGAATACCAGTTTAATCTTCTAAACATATTGCATGTATTCACCTGCTGAAAATGTAAGCAGGCTTCTTCTAGATGCCCAACATTTTGCAGAGTTGCTTTGAGACAGAGAATGTGAAGATAAAATGTTTCGCTTGCTTCGGTTTTGTTCCCAAACTATGAAAGCCATTTTAAAATTTATCGACCTTATCGTGATTAGCGGCCAGACATCAAGTCAATTTGATGGCACTATGTGGCGATGTTTACGATCTCTTGAGCATGCTCTTTCTACATGGGAATATGCGAGTTTGGCGAGACGATAATGGTAATTTTAAGCACACTACTAACGCTTTTGTCTGAGGCTGTTGAATGTCATGCCGTCTGAGTCGCCGATTGTTCCCAGGAACATATACCAGAAACTTAGAAAGGATTAAGCAGTAGCCCGTTGGATGATTTTAAATGAACAAGCTCTGTACTAGCTAGACGAAAACTCACAATAAATTACTCACAAGTCATTACACATAATCCAGTCTTTCCTTTGATTCCTTTAACACTTATCTGACATGTTGCGGCTCACGTTGACAATACTGTCGCGTAATGAAATGCCGGAAAAGTATAAGGTATCTGTCTTTTAAAACATGATCTTCAGATTAATACGGTTGAATTGCATCCCGAGCTATGCTGCATAGAAAGTTTGCCCCAGACAGAGGATTAGAAGCGCCGTGCTTTGCTCATAGAGTGAAAGCTGGGCCTTCCACAGGCTGTACTACAATGTTCAACCATGTTAAACTCAGGAAAACCTACCATATGATATCCATAATGCACCAAACGACCGCAAAGTAAAGATCCGTTAAATTGAACTATAAAATCCTGTTGTTTAGTCCTAATGGGGAGAAATTTTAGGATGAATATACTAATCTTCACTATCGACATCCGTGGCTATCTTAGCCATGAGAACCATGCACAGGTCCAGTCCCCTGGAATTTCTAGTGAGGCATCCTTTGGCTGGATGTCTTGCGTGAATTTGGATACCCCACGCAATTATGGTTCTCCACCGGTCACGTAAATAATAAAAATGGCTGTGTAATTTGCACCGCTAAATACTAATTTAGGCGTGGCGAAAATATCCGGCCAAGGGGGAGTCAATGATTGCCATCTTGGCAACTAAATTTGCGACTACTGAGCATCGATATTGAGACTGCCAATTCAACTGATTTACCGTCTGTAACTTTGCGACCAGCTGGTATACGGCCTACCCGTGCGCCACGTTCACCGTCTCTTATCCTGTTTCATTGTAATAAATCAGAATGTGGAAGAACTAAAGGCACTCCTGTAGCGAGAACAGCAGCAGATCGCAATATTTTAACCAAGCTTGTCACTTTATTGACGATAAACGCTACTCATAAGTCGGTTGAGAACTCTCACTGTGCAGTAGAGTATGACAAATGCAGTATTATAAACAACGGTTTCATATGAGTCGCCCGCCAAATTCATTTTACTTGAGCTCGCCAAAGTCTTAACGGAGCACTTATCCAACCATAGATCCATCTCCATTTAGTGACAGATACGTTTTCAGAATTTCTATGTACGCCGTTATAAACAGCATTATCATTCAAAATATGCGGCGCAAAATCGGATCAGTCAGCTTGCTTTTAAGGAAACTCGGAGCAGGTGAACATGGTAAGTATTGCAGTCATTTTTTGCATATACTCCAGAGAATTCCCGTTGCAGGAGACTGGTGCAAAACTCATCAGTATGTTTGGTCGTAATCTGTCAGTCTAACGCACGAAAATATTTCCAACTAAAGAAAGTCACAACAGTAGACTGAGTTACATACACTAACGTGGATATTTGAGGGCGGGGGGGACTGTGATTGCGTAATGACTGCTGATTAATTTGAATGTCTGATTTTCTTCCATGGTCTTCAAGTATCCAAAGATGACGACGCAAAGGGGAAAACAAGTATCAAAAATGTAACCACAACCAGATGTTATGTTGCAAACCGTTACGAAAGAGTGCATACGTACATAAAACTTGAAGCATGATTTATTAGTACTGCAAGATAAAGACATCTTAAGCTAAAGTTTACAGTGGGTCACTAATTATCAGAACCGCAAAGCACTGAGCACCAAAGAGATGCTAAGATTTTGTAAAATAATATTTCTTGTCTCGTCCTCCTTTGAAAAAGGGCAGAGAACTCAACAGTGAAATCGCACAAATTTTGTGTTCATAAATCTACTGACAAAGTGTAAAATGGAGGAAGTATAGTGCTATCTATATCTACCACTTTGTAGTTTTACTACAACTCGACAGGATACCGGACAAAACCGTTACATTTCGATCCACCCGGGTAATATTCTAACAATCTACATATTAATCATATTAACTTCATTATCCGGCAGTTAAAATTCAAGTTTTCTGTTTTCTCGAGCTTGGGTGTGGTTCTGTTACCATAACAAAGGGCTAAATTAAGCAATCGAGTAGGCTGTCTAACTCAAACGAAGTTCGTTTGTGTCAATAATTACCAGGATATACTTATCACATGGCAGGTGAAACATATTTTGCACGCAACTTCGTGTATTGAATGCATGGGTATTATTCCACCAAGCGTTTGCAGTTAAAACTGGTGAAGTTCAGGTTTACGTATTCAGCGTTATCATTAATGAAACGCATTTAGAAATAGAACGTCCAATTTGGTGCGTCATAGGGTGGGTCTGAGGTGAGAATATGAGAACCAGAATCAACAAAGATGATTCCATTTGGTAGCGCATTCTGAAAATTTCAGTTTCAAGTTTAAATCTATCCAAAGAACAGACAGCATACAAAAGCGAAGCAAATGTGACTTGAGGAAGACTTTTTTCACGGTTTTCGGAGGCGTGGCTAAAATCAATAGGGTATATACCCCCCAGTGACACATCTTCAACTGGTTTCTGATTTCCCACTGGTCTCAAGTCAAGATGCGAAGGGTTTCTGCACTCAGACGGTGAACCATAATCGAATGAATTGACAATACCGATAGTTGGCGCAAACTTATAGACCCAAACGTCCGCGTATTAATTTTGGTAAATTCTTTCCCTCCAAGTCCTAGAATATGTGTAGCAGAGGTTTGTTATGTACCTACACGCATCAGCGCTATGCAATTTAATTTGTGAGCATTTTCGTTTGCAGCTAGTAACAAGTAGTCCATATGAACTATTTCACTTTAAAGCACCGTAGCGCTGTGATCAACAGAGAACAAATCCAGCAAATCCAAGATCCATATTTTTTGATGTAGTGCGGAACGTGTGCCAGACATTTTCGCGTAAAAATAATACCATATTGCAACAGCCCTTTTTTACAGCTCCAGATTCATTATTGGTGTTCCTGCTCGCTGAGAATAAGGGTTGGGAATAAAAATATCAGCGTCAGAGCTCACATCATCTCAAGCCTTGAGTTCCCTTTTTAAACTTGTAGATTTTTCTGTTCCATCTGTGTAATCCTGGAGTGAAGACAGTTCATTTATTTTCTTGGATGACGGAAGCAAACAGACTCATTCTTCCCGTAGCCTATTTTTCCCCACAAGTCCAATGCAATAACTGGACGTTATCGTTAAAAGTTTGAGCAATACTGTACCACGCAGCAACAGGTCTTTTTGCGCAGTGCATTTTAACACCAATTCCAGAGATAATCAACCTGTGGTGAGAAGTCAAGTTGATAGCTTCTGCAAGAAATCACGGCCAACGCGTAACATAGAAAATCCGAAAACCCATCCTCAATGGCTAGCCAGCCCGAAGAATGAAGAGCAATGAGTATATCAGAGAGTTCATGATCCGAAAAGCCCGTTTAGACGCGAGCACTGTTCCATATTCTCTAATCTCACCTATGTTTTTGTCTAGAGCAAATTCATTTCCAACAATGTGCAGACATTTTGACCAGTCACCTACTGAGCAGCTTAAGAATGGATTACAAAACCTCACTAATAAAATTCTCACTTCGTTTTCCTAATAATGGGACACATTGGATAACAAGCTTTCTACAGTGACCATCGCGTACAAAGTTGACCAACAAACAAAACACTTACAGTTCATTGATCCGTATATCCTCATGGTTCCCACGATTGAGAAAGACGCAGCCAGGGAAGACGAGATAGGCGGCAAACAAAATGCACAGCACCTCCACGGACTTGTAACCTCGATCGACAAAGTCACCATTGAAGATTATGCGATTTTTCTCGGAAGGTAGCCCGTTCTACAAAACATTCGCACCGTTTTTAACATTAATTTGGCATTCCGGGTTGCAGTTTGACAAAAATCATGAAGACTTCGTGACATGCAAACTTGGTAAAATTTTTCTAAGCAGAATTTTGTCTCCAAATCAAGGGACTCATGGCTGAACTTGGGTTTCACTCTGATTCCTTCTTGCGGAAACATAATGGAAGGTGAAGGTCAGTAGTCAGTGGCATCAGCTTAACATACGCTACTAAAGTTAACGGACACGAGTTATCTCGTGTTGGTAGTGTCAAAAAATTCCTCGGAATGCATTTATTAGCACAGTTTCCCTTCTTTCAAAGCCAAAATGAAAAACAGACTCTTGGACTAGTGTTTTTGTTTGCCCTAAAGCACCACCAAGATTTAACGACCTAACTAAACTCCTATTATCTCTCAAAATGTAAGATCTATCAAGCATTTTCATTTGTTACCGGCTTTTTGATAACTAGTTTTATAGATCTTCATTTACCCATCGGTTATCAATAACACAGGGGTGAGAAACGTTATATAATATTCACGATGGAAAACGCTGACTTTCACATACTTGACTGAAAAATTGTAGCAAAGCTTGGAGGTTTCCATGCAAATCTCCACAAATGCTCACAAAAGAGTTCTCTTCTAGTTGAATTTCGCTGATATTTGGTTCGTGCTGCAAGGCATTTGCAGCTTCACTGACGATTCGCTCGAACCATTCTTTAGTTACCCGTTTCTAAAACATCAATAAAAATAGGGATTTCACGCGTGTGTTGCCTGTGCACAATGCTTTCACTAGTTTCATGCCTTACGCGCAAAACTCCCGCAGTAGAGTGGGAAATTTACGCCAACCTAACAACCCCCCAAGCCAACTATAGGGTTTTATCAGTCTTCCGCTCATCAGACGTGTCAGATTCGGTCCTCGAATTTTCACCAGTCTTATTTCGCTTAAACACCACGGTAAATGCGGGCAGAGTTAAACACTAGTGTTTAAACGCAGCTGATGAACAGTCTGCTGCACAACATAAACGGGACTTAGAATTGGGTTCGTCACTGAAAATATAAAAGATTATAACTTGCATGCCCTGAACAGTGGTTCTTTGATTAGGAGAAATCCGGAGACGACACCTTCTGGCTGAGTCTCAAACAACACAGTAATAGAGAAGGACCCCAATGAGTTTGCATTATTATGAAAACGGTATATTGTTTCCAGAAATAATATATGGATATCTTCAACGTCGGATCCGCATCTGCAGTCACCTTTTGCTTAAGGTCAGTCAACAAGGGAATGCTATTTTAGGTTTCACAAAAACGCAATGGTATATGCGAAATACATATACTTGCGAACAAATTGAGTCTTGCGAAAGAGTCACTTGGAACCCAGCTTAACCTCTCGTTTATGATATTCCTAAGCAACTGAATGTGCTGCACTAGGCCACCTCATGTTTCAGTTGGTAATATATTCGAGATATCTCAATAAATGTATAGAATTGATACACAACTCATAGGGTTGTTTAAAATTTTTCGATAGCCTATGACCGGTTTCGCCCAAATCAGGGTTCATCAGGAATGCGCAGTCCCGAATTTCCGTCAACTTGATGTTTTACGTGAAACCAAACTGCACGAAATTAGCGAAATACACCCAGCTGCAGACAAATTTTGTTTTATGAGAGACACTTCGAACCCAGCTGAATCGCTCGTCTATGGGGCTGCGCCTAATTGCTGAGCACCAATAAGGGCGAAAAAGTTTATGAGCTGTCGAAGAATTTTCAGCAGCCTTATGAATAGTGCACTATGTACAAACCGTGATATTTGGTCCAATTCCACTTTCCACGCTGTGTTGTCTCACATTAAAGTAATACATTTTGATAAGAAAAGCTTGCGAGAAACCAAATGTGATGTTCCCATAATATTAGTTAGACCACATTTTTTTGAGTCCGGAAAGCGCCCGTGGTTCATATATAGTAACAGCGATTCATTACAAAAATTGCTTACTGTGTACGACAAAGGAACTACAGAAAAGGGGGAGACCTTTGTCCAATATGTGGCAGGTACAGGAACCTGGCTGAAATTCACTCATGGAATACCAAGATAGGAATTTGTGGACCATTGGTTTATTTTAGTTTAGGGTAAAAATAAACTATGGAAAAGGTCCCTCACTTCCCAAAGACCCTTACTGTACAGTGGGTGTGGAACCAGTTCATTTGTGTCACTGCATTTCGATATGCCTATGATAGGCTCTATGATGGGACACAACTACACTCAAGTTTTGCATTGTAACTTGAAGCCATTAAAAGCCAGTGAACAGCATCTCCAAAAATCTTGCCCTCCATTTTTAAACACTATACCGTAGGTATCTCCTTACGGTCTCTGTCAAGCGCCACTGTCTTGGAAGAATAAGTCCAGCTGCACATGAGCACTGGAATTAGAGAGTGCATATAATTGTAGTACTTTACACACTGGAAAAACAATCGGTCAGTGGACAAACATCACTCTCTTTTCAATCGCGTCTAACGTTTTGAAAAAAAAAACGGCTGACCAATGTGTAAATACTTCACAAGAGTTTCCAGCCCTACAGGTAACGCGGTTAAATAATGCTTCTTTTGAACTCGCTCTAGTAGCGTCATCCAATGGCCCCGGATATGTGTTCTTTTCCAAAAGTCCGTCTGAATAGCCTTCGCTCATGTGCACAAAAATGTACGCCAGTCGTAAACGGTATGAACGATGACAATGCAGAGTTCATTCTAGGGCTGTGATTCTTACTTTACCTGAATACAAAAAATCAAATGCCCACCTCATTGCAGACAAATTGGTTGTCCTGCTGAGTGGCATACGAGTAGTAAATGAGTGGTGTGTTTCGTCCAAACTATGGATATTATATCGGTTCTGTTGCATCACTTAGTAAATAAAAGTGATGATGATACTCTCTTGATCGCAAAACCATTTTTAATCCCTTCTTGGGGGGAAGACACTGCTTGTAAATCCCATAAAGATTTTTCGACTGAAACATGAAGCGGCCGTTGTGCGGCACATTCAGATGGAGAGAAGCACAGATGAGGAATTCGGTTGGGTTGTCCACATGAAAGCGCCGTTGTGCGGCACATTCAGATGGAGAGAAGCACAGATGAGGAATTCGGTTGGGTTGTCCTCTCAACACCCAATTAGTTTTCAATAGAGCAAATGTTCTTCATATTCTTCGTTGATTTTTCCAGAAATGAGAATCTAATGGACTCAAAATGCGGCAGACGCGCTTAGAAACGCGTGCACACTCTAAAAGATTCAGCGAGTATAAGTTATCCGGGTTATTAACCTAACCACGACCAACAAAGGCTTCAAACATTGAATTGTACAAGACTCCAGTTAATTTTGAAACCGCCGAACTTGTCCAGTGTTCCCTATATAAACCAGATGATAACTGAAGGTTGTTATTCACTGGGTGACCCTTAGGTAGTTTGAATCTACATTCCTTCTGGTCAGTACGGTACCAAAATTGCAGAATATTGTCCCAAGCTGCCAGTTTAAACTTAGTTTTAGTAAAAATTCATGAATATAATGAACGCTCGCGTAAAGAGAATGAAATACTTTGGTCCATAAAGGACCTAACTTTTCAGCTCACCTTTGTTGAAGCAAGCACGTGCAAAAGGTTCTTGAATTCACGCTGGCCAAGTGGAAAATTTACTTCATCCGAACTGTCTACCCAGATCGCCGCAGCACCACAAGGGGCATTCGACACTAGATGACCCGAAAACACAAGCAACATTACGATATGATATATTTGCAGTGGCCTCCGTGAAATACGGAGAATTTGAAAAGAAAGATCATCTAGAAGAACATCTATGTTCATGGCGAGAAACCCTTGATCTCGGGAGCGAGGCTTTTAGGACATGTACACTCATGGTTATGAGGAAAACATCCTACGCTTGTCAGACGTATGGATACCGAAACGCAGTTTATGTAGAATGCGAGTTTATAGACCAGAAAGTTCCCTCTCACTCTGTAAAGCTTGGGAGAGTTCAGCGGTTGATATACACACTTAATGACCGGAAGGTTACTGGCTCGATCCCAACCTCAGGAGCTGACAGCTTTCGTCTAGGCTTGGGCAACCTGGGAGAATCACAGCCCCCGAGCTTCCTTCAGAGAGCATGCAGCTAGGCACCGAATGGGTGGTACAGTTGGGCGACGAGACTGACAATATCCTGATAGGAATCGCATGGACCATGGGCTGGCAGTGTTGCCTTTCCTTCATAGGAACGGAACCAGGAAATCAAGGAAGATTGGATTCGACTCCCGTGCAAGCATCACTTATGTTCGATTCTTCAAGTAATTGCTGATCTTCTTCTAGGACGAAGACTTTAAAGGGGGTTCTGCCGTGTTTTACAATGTCAGTAAACATTGATCCCCTTTATTTTGTACGATTTATGCTAGAGTTACCGACCATCAAGAAACACCATTCTATCAGGAAGACGACCTTAGAACGCGCAAGGCTACAAATACAAGAGGGCGACAGTTTGTCATACGCTGTCAAGCAAATCAGTCAATCAGGAACGAGAGAAATCGATACTGGGTAGATATTGCAACTAATGTGGAAGCTGCATCAGATGTTGATTGACTTGTGGGACTATTTTGTCTGCTGCGAAGAGTCTCAGATAGAGGATGAACTATCCAACATAGTCTACTTGCAGACTTTTTCCGCTTCAAAGATGAACTTTCAAACACGTCCCTGAACGTGCATCAGTGTACTTATTCCCTGTTTTTGAGCCGCACACTTTTGTAAAAAAAAGCTGACCTTCCAGAAGAAAGAATCATAGCCCATGTCGTTGGGTATGTCGCGTATGTACCGTCGCCGTTTTCGCCCAATCATTGACTGTGTTTGGTCTGCAATAGTTTACTGCAACTATCCATTTGCAGCACAGCACAGATTACAAATCCGTTTGTGGCAACATTTGCCGTACAATCTAACTCTATGTAGCTTCCGTATGTACAGCGGAGAGTTGGTTGACATTTAATTGCCATCTGGGGTTCGACAGAACAGTCCGTCATACTGTTCGGCTTTGTATTTGACCGAATACTACGCTACTAAGTAGAGGATAGCAGGAAGTGGATATCAGCAGAATATGCTGGTGCCGAAACGTCGGTCCCCAAACAGTTGTATTCACTGCAGTTCATTGCAGTTTATGACAGGTCGCTCGTGGAATCTGTCGACCTAGAGATCAACACCCCAAAGGCCAGGACTATGGATCCATCTGGGATTTGGTGTGGTAGAACACTCACAAAGTGAGCAAAATGGCACTGTAGTACATTTTCGAATGGTAAAGCCAAGGATGTAATCAAGGTTTGCTTGCATCATTCCTACAACTGGATGCGCAGAGAATAAGAGAAAAGTAATATGAGTCCACAGTCCGAATCCACCAGTCCGCGTCAAAATTGTCTTACTGTATGCTTGAAAGACCTGATCAATGGGCGCTTTTGTACGCTCACAAGAGCTAGGTTTTAGAATATTGATGACTGAGGAATGGTCTTGTGGTAATCCCTAAAGTATGTTGAAAGCAGACTTGTGCAAATGCTATAGGAACGCTTGGCAAAAGTATCTAGCCCCACAGATGACTTGAACATGTTCTTTGCAACTCAGAGACATAAATGAAGTCGTTTTCGAGGTGGTCGGCTGCAAACCTGGATTGGCATTTGTAAGTCCAATTTTGAATTATTGGATCTGCGGGCTATCCAAGACCCATGCCATTGAAGCTACTACTAATTTAACATCCGTGCGAGTCCGTTTTAGCGTCAGCTTAGACAACCCACTCATCAGCTGATAGCCAAAGCAAAGTAAAGTGAGTGACAAAGTGTTTATAGCAGGATGGAATGGGCGATCCTACATATGATACAGGTGTTTTCCTTGATTGCAACTGTTCGGCCAAACTAGCACCATCTCAAATGCAGTCCAGTTATTCATTTCAGTGAAGAGAGATTAATTGTAGGACAACTGTGTCGCTTTTTAAATTTATTGGTTTCAACAAATTAAAATACCCTCACAGTTATAGACAGTGTAAAAAAGTAGGTGGTGCAAACGTGAGACGATTGTGCCACAGTGTACTGAGGTATTGGTGCAACACGTGTGAGGATAATGGTGCATGTAGTGGACTAGCCAACGCTGTGTTGAAAATGCGGAGATACTTACCAACAGTTTCACGACTGAGTTCTGCAAAAAATTCCGCGACCTAAAACCCATATAGTTACGCTATCAAGGCTCTTGTCTTACGTAAATAATTGGTTTTGACGGTTGAGGAGGCTGTCTAACAGTCATCTCGACTACGTGGTTGGATGTGTACAAAAAGCCAAATAATATAGTGGCACACCATTCTTTTACTTTCATTAAAACTGCATCCGCTGGTCATGCAAAACAAAATCTTCATTTCTCTTGTTTAAATAGCAGTAATGACAGAATATTAACCACATTTGTGCTGTAAGTGCAAACTAGGCAAACCCACGTTCACTAGAAGGAATTTGAACGGAGTTAATTTAATGGCCACAAAATCACTTCTTTTCGCCTATTTGGTCGTTTCTAGCATGCTATAGTGGGGTAATGGCAACATGCCCACAGTGTATGTCGGATGTCCACGGCACAAATCCTTCTACGGCCTTAGATGACTGATAACAATAAGCCGTTAGAAGAGCGAAGCGTTCATCTGCTCAGGGTAGATCATTTCGGAACATATATGAGCTGCTCTCATGTGATATCGCCACCTCAACCGGTTCGAAAAGTCTGCCTCACACCACTCCACTTCTTAAGGTTCATTTAGTGTTTCAACAGAACTGCTACACTTAGCAAACAGACTAACAATCAAGCCTCATGCCTGAGCTACCCCCAATTCGTGACAATACTTTTTTTCAATAGTTTTGCCATTAAAAAAGACTGGGGGGAGCGATTTTCCTGCTTTTGAGATATACTGGGCTTTTTTAAACCGAACTTGCCAAATTAAGACTCACAAATAACCAGTGGAAACAAACGCTCAGAATTAAGCAGCAGAACATGTTTGCAAACAGGCTACCGTATGTGTCAGTATCATGAATGATTTTCTTCACAAGATATTTTACTCTGTCCTTATACCTAGAAGAACATGCGCTCAAATCTGGTGAATGAATATCACCACTGAAGGTTCAGTATGACGGTTTGGTATTATTCGAGCCTGCTGTCTTCTCGTCCCTGTACAATAAACCTAAACAGTTGACTCCACTAGTGGCTGGTATGGGTTGTCCTTCGAGCATGCCAAATAAAACTGAAAATGTAAAATGCCCTGCAACTGGTTAGAAGCAAAACGATTTGGGTGATAAAAACGATTGACATGTGAAACCAGTCGGACCCGATTTTAAACCATTACGATCTCAGTTGTGATGAACATGCCACGAAGGTTCTGCTCTTATTCTGAGGATCTCACTATGTGCAGCTTAAAAAATATAGACAGGAAATCACAGAGATTATAAACGTCGGGTAATGACGGTTTTGGCTTACTTAAACCAACGGGGTACTAAAAACCGTGTTTCTTCCGTCGGTAAATTGAAATCGATACAATTTCAATTAAAGCAATGCATTCAGCATCGAACCCAGACCCAAAATAAATGGGTGTGATTTGAAAAAACTCAAGGAAACCAAAATCACAAGAAATATTGTTCAGTAGTATCTTTGGCAGTTATTTTTTATCATTGTTAATGAAAACAACTGAATGGGAACACCATATAGGGGAATCTACTTGAGTGTAACATTGCCGATTGGTGTGTGAACCCTACATAGAATTGCCTAGTCCAGCAACGGATGCCATAAACAAGATGAGATTCATACCAACGTACCCGGTTCAAATCACCTTCATCTCTTGTGTATTCAAAGGCTTGTAGAACGCGCCATGCACATTGTCTGCGAACCTCGAGTTTCGCAACAACCTTTCTATACCAACATTGAATGAGCACAGCGGCTCGGAAAGCTGCAACGAAATATTGTAAAATATCGAAACAGGATTGTTTGAATCTGTAAGGATGCGAAAACCGCGAAACTATCAGTAAAATTTGTTGTTTCATGTACCCGTCAGACCTCCACCGCCAACTACGCAATACATAACTGTTGCAATAGTTTCAGCAAACAAGGGGATGCGCGGTTTGAAATAAATTGTGCTGATATCCACAAATGGTGAAACTTTATCCCCAGGAGACTGCTTAAGTCAATCTGATGATATTTTTATAACTGTCCGTTTTCCCAACCAAGCTGTCTAGGTATTAAACTAAACTGTTTTGACCGGCAGACAATCCAGCACTACACTCTGTGCATAAATTTTGGTCATCGGTTCCAGACCGTAACGTGGAAAGCTGTAAGATTCCACCATCATTCATTTAAGAGATTATACGTTGTTTGGTGTACGTGAAGTCAAATTAACCCACTACAGGGACCAGGCGTTGACTAAAGTGACTAGCCTTTCAGGCTAGCTTTGTCATGCAATGTCGTCCGTTGTTCTACTAAGGAATCCGCTGCTAGCATTACCCGGCTTCTGTCGTCACCCCTGTGCTTTCCACTGTTTTTTTTTAAAACTTTTTCGTACACTGTGCTCTCCGCTTTAGCTTAATGGTCTTTGAACATTTGAATGCCTAAACCTTCAGATTCAAGACCCTGTGATTTACCCAGTTTATGTGTGCATTTTTCTTGAACGTGCAGAGTCAAAAAGAGTATCTGAAACATCTATTTATCTATAGACTGGACTCGCATCCTGAATCAAACCATGAGAACTTGCACTCAGGAATCATAATTTCCTTCATTTCTTCAAGTGAGCTAACCGAATGAAACACTAATATTGGTTATGACAATACAAATAGTGATGGTAGAATATCAGTTCGCCGTTACGGCAGTTGTCTGAGGACGGATATGTTCTTGGTAGGCGCGACTGTTTAAATTCCAAAAAAAGTATGATATAGAAATCGCACATGATCAAGTGGATCTTTAAATGTCGGCTCTCGAGAACTCTAGCAAATCAACCTCTCGCACCTTATAAAAGACCACATCCATCTTTATTTCCTATTCACCACACGAGCGGTAATAATCAGTGGAAATAGTCGAAACAGGGCACACTGTCCTACGTGCTTGTGTAAAGGGAACTACAGCAATTACCCGGTGGAAGAACCACTTAAGTCATACCCACCACCATAGAAACCACACGAGAGCGTTTCCAGTCCAGTGCAAATTAATGTGCGGTACTACCAGAGGATGACTACTTTAAGGGAAGTAGTCAATAGCACCATGATTGCATCTGTCAGTACATCAAATCATTAAAAAACAGCTCCGGGGTTTGGATAACAACCTACATTCATCAGGGTGATGATCACCAGAAAAAGTCAGAACTTACGAAATCTGACCCGTTCCGGCGTTAGGGAACGCGTGACTACACTGAAAACTTCATTTATTGAGTATAACGTCGGGAGTAAAATAAGCGACTCAGGCTGGCATAGCTTGGCCACCTTTGAAAGCCAAATATAGTGTAGAGATTCTCCTTGTACATCGTACATATCACGCTTGGGAGGTATAGGGTGCAAACGTTTTTCAAAATATCTGTCTGGATGAACATTCCGTCAAAACATCGTCACAAAAAATTCTGTTCCCTCCATCAGGGTACTTCACAACAATACTTCTCAGCTTTGTTGTATACACAGCGTCCCCAGCTTTGGCTAATCCTCAATTGAACAAAGCCACTACGGTTCATATGCTGTCCATTTGATGTGGGTTTATAGTGAGAAAGATAGAAAGAAAGAAAGAAAGCGTTCAGCTGTAGCACCCTTCCGGTGCCTGGCTGCCATGCCACCCGAAGGAAGCACGAGGGCTGGGATACTGCCAGGCTGCCCAAGCCTAGACAGGGGAAGTCGAGTGGGGGAGGTCGGATTCGAACCACGGACCTTCCGGTCAGTAAACTGCGCTCTAACCACTTGGGCCACCTCGGCCGGTTTATAGTAAATGTTATGTCAAATTTAACCATTGTATGCTAAGTTCAATTAAACATCAAGAAAGTTAGTTAACTACACATACGTTTGGCCAATCAGCGAATGTGATTTTCCCAAGTATGAGTATCAGAAGAGGATAGCTCAAGTCCGTCTGTAAATAGGCGCAGCGCAAAATTAACCCCGTTAACTTATCAGAGTTAGGATGGTGAGAATTAGGTTACTATGATCAATGGCGCATATGTATAGCACAGCGCAATTGCTGAAACATCTAGAGATAACATTTTCCTCCCTGACACTGTCACGCTTTTGATCTCCTCAGTAAAATCTAAACCATGACCTCGACTGAGTATAGTACTTCATATAATCGGCAATCAGTGCTTTAATATGGCGAATGTCAAATATCCGGAGGCACGCCAGCCTCTCAATGGAAATAAATAATTTTTCAGCTGTACCAACGTTATGGCGCCTAGATACTATGCTGTTGTAAGGGAAAACAAGGGCTCAGATGCTGTCAGTTTACCCAAGTTTGGACACGAGTGATCGAGATGTCGGGACTTGAATGGAACCAAGACATTCTGGTGAGTAAGTTTGCGCTTGGTTAGAGAACCTCAGCGGTAAACATAACTTGGAATCAAGGGTTAAGAAGCGCGCTGGTTGGCTAAATAAATTTTATAACAAATGTCGATTTCTTGGAATTTAATAAGAAATACCAAAGCTTGTAAGCAAACAGCGAATCACCGTAGGCAGCTCTACCCAAAATTTGGTGGTTGTATAATCGATCCGTCTACCATTAGTTGGGCTGTGGCTGCAAAGAGTTGGATGCCATGGCTCGTAGAGTAACCGGACGTGACGGGCTGTCGGGAAAATAAACGACCATCATGTCTTGATACTTATTAGGACTCCACAACCATGGTAAGCCACGGTGAAATCGCTCAAACTAGTTGGCGGTCTTATGGAGGTTTGATGAACAATCAAGCAGCCACACTTTTCTGGTCACAAACCATTTCCAACTGACTGAAGTTGGCAGCTCGTTATTATGCTACTGTTCACATTACTACTGATCTCATTGTAGACATTCACTCTGTTGTACGGCTTCCAAACATCTCTTCGTTATTGAGGAGGAGGAACATGATTCTGAAACATGACAAACCAGCAGGTAATAACTACGTCGGATATGGTTTACTCAATTAGTCATGGACTCGTGTGAATGACAGCCGTCAACTGCAACACAAGAATATAAAATTCTTCATTTAATTGGCTATTTGATGTCCATTGGCCAGTTAGGTTAATAGCTCACTGGATTTTTGAATGCTTAAGTGAATAAAACCATGTTGGATCAAGCCAGCGTAAGCTTACCATATTTTCTTGGTTCACTGTTTAAACTACGTGGATACGCAATGAAAAGAAACATCTCGCTAGTACACAACTACTTTGTTACGAATCTTCAGGCAACTTAAATCAGGCGCAAAGTACTGACCATCACAGACAAGTTTGTCCTTGACGTATCAATCTAGAAGGTAGCTGCGCGGGTCGTAAATGTTGCTCAAGAAACATAAGGAGTCAAAGCGTTAGTTAAAAGATTAAAGTAAACTGTGAGAATAAGCACAACGGTTGTAAATACCATTATCGGGGACTTCAATCAAATAACATATACTTTCGACATTCTGTGAACTTTCCAAATTCCTTTAACCTCTAAGTGATTGCACCGTAAGTGTTTTTTGAGGAAATTAGGCGGACTAAACTTGACTTAATTTGGGAAAGATTTAACCCGCCGTATTCCACCCTATTTTCAAGTTTTTATATATGGGACACTAAAAGCATGTTGTGATTCTTATTTGAATAGTATTTGATGTTAATATTCTGGAGCACAAATAGTCCTGGGGCATTCATTATCAGAATTTGGTAGTTTCAAAGATATTGCCTCAACCATTTAATACATTTCATGCAACTTAGTAGCCAAACTACACTCGTACTGTGTGCACGAGGTCAGCATAAGTTTATGTCACTGCATTAACTAATAGTGCTAGTTGTTTAATTCGATTAACCCCAACCGCTCGTTACACCTAGGTCTTTGAGCTCACGTAATCTATGGATGCAAACCCGTAGTCTGTTTAGCATGAGACAGTGCGCAGTTTGCTCAGGCTGAACACTTAGGTATTATGCATATCAACTTCGTCAGTTTGACTAGGATTGGTGTTGTCCTTTGCGCAATTTAACACTGTGCCATTTAAATCATCCCTAGAAGCGTTCAAGCATCAAGCACTATAGCACAAAACCCGATAAAATTAATAATTCTGGCGCCCTCTTAAAGTGTTTTGGATATTGTCGTCCCATTTGACAATTTATTCTGCTATGTTTCTAATTCTCCACAAAATGAAGACACAATTTGCATAGCGTTTGTGTCTATGAATGCTAAAGTCGAGTGAAAAATCAAGTCATCTTAAATGCAAAAGCTTTGGTCGACATTAGCGAGGACATTTCCAAGGCTGACTTTATGAATCAGGGTTGTTTTGTGTGACAAAACACAATAGATAAGTCAATGGAGCCTCTTCATTCCATGGCTCCCGTGCCATTGCCCATTCTTGCTCATATAAAACGTGGGAATGTCAAACCGGACGGCGTCACCCTTAGGAAAAGATCATGAATACAATTTTGTTAGGTTAAAATCAGGTGGCTTGCCACTACTTAAAAGATACAAAACGAAAAGCAACTACAATGTTTCTCAGTAATTTGCTGGAAACCACCATGAAATTCAAAAACCAAGATGTGGCTTCCAATTCTCATTATGAAGCCGCATAAAACCCAAGTCGTATCTGGCAAAATATACTTGTTGACTCAACCAGACGACTATTCAAGGATTGCACTATTGATGAACCAACTCCTTTAGACAAACTTATCTACATGTTTGGCGTTAACAGTGTGCATATTGGTCATGATTACTGGCATAAAAGCAGTAAAAGTCGGTTGATGCGGATCCTCCGAACAATCAACTATGGAATCCACTGCCATGCCTACTTCGAGCTCTAATCCCGTGCTCCCGACATTATCCATTTGTAAGCAACTTCTACCTCCTCCACCTGGTCTCTGATAGGCGGCAT